TACAGTAACACCACAACTACAGTGACAACTAAACTACAGCAACAATACAACAACAACTACAGCGACACCACAACTACAGCGACACCACAACAACTACAGCAACACCACAACTACAGCGACAATACAACAACAACTACAGCGACACCACAACTACAGCGACAATACAACAACTACAGTAACACCACAACTACAGCAACAATACAACAACAACTACAGTAACACCACAACTACAGCAACAATACAACAACAACTACAGTAACACCACAACTACAGCGACAACAAAACTACAGCAACACTACAACTACAGCGACAATACAACAACAACTACAGCGACACCACAACTACAGCGACAATACAACAACAACTACAGCGACACCACAACTACAACTACAGCGACACCACAACTACAACTACAGCGACACCACAACTACAGCGACAATACAACAACAACTACAGTAACACCACAACTACAGTGACAACTAAACTACAGCAACAATACAACAACAACTACAGCGACACCACAACTACAACTACAGCAACACCACAACTACAGCGACAATACAACAACTACAGTAACACCACAACTACAGCGACAACAAAACTACAGCAACAATACAACAACAACTACAGTAACACCACAACTGCAGCAACAATACAACAACAACTACAGTAACACCACAACTACAGCAACAATACAACAACAATTACAGTAACACCACAACTACAGCGACAACAAAACTACAGCGACAACAAAACTACAGTAACACCACAACTACAGCGACAATACAACAACAACTACAGCGACACCACAACTACAGCGACAATACAACAACTACAGCGACACCACAACTACAGCGACAATACAACAACAACTACAGTAACACCACAACCACAGCAACAATACAACAACAACTACAGCGACACCACAACCACAGCAACAATACAACAACAACTACAGTAACACCACAACTACAGCAACACCACAACCACAGCGACACCACAACCACAGCGACAATACAACAACAACAACTACAGCGACACCACAGCAACAATACAACAACAACTACAGCGACACCACAACCACAGCGACACCACAACCACAGCAACAATACCACAACTACAGCGACACCACAACTACAGCGACACCACAACCACAGCAACAATACAACAACAACTACAGCAACACCACAAGTACAGCAACACCACAACTACAACGACACCACAACTACAGCAACAATACAACCACAACTACAGCGACACCACAACTACAGTAACACCACAACAACAACTACAGCGACACCACAACTACAGCAACAACACAACAACAACTACAGCGACACCACAACCACAACAACACCACAACCACAACTACAGTAACACCACAACTACAGCGACACCACAACTACAGCAACAATACAACAACTACAGCAACACCACAACTACAGCAACAACCAAACTACAGCAACACCACAACTACAGCAACAACCAAACTACAGCAACACCACAACAACTACAGTAACACCACAACTACAGCAACAACCAAACTACAGCAACACCACAACAACTACAGTAACACCACAACCACAGCAACAACAGCAACAACAACAGCAACAACAGCAACAACAACAGCAACAATACCACAACAACAGCGACACCACAACTACAGCAACAATACAACAACTACAGCAACATCCACAACTACAGCGACATCCACAACTACAGCAACAATACAACAACAACTACAGCAACAATACAACAACAACTACAGCAACATCCACAACTACAGCAATATCCATAACTACAGCAACATCCACAACTACAGCGACACCACAACTACAGCGACACCACAACCACAGCGACAATACAACAACTACAGTAACACCACAACTACAGTAACACCACAACTACAGTAACACCACAACCACAGCGACAATACAACAACAACAACTACAGTAAGACCACAACTACAGCGACAACAAAACTACAGCAACACCACAACTACAGCGACAACAAAACTACAGCAACACCACAACTACAGCAACACCACAACAACAACTACAGCGACAACAAAACTACAGTAACACCACAACTACAGCAACACCATAACAACAACTACAGTACCACCACAACAGCGAGAACAAAACTACAGTAACACCACAACAACAGTAACACAACTACAGTAACACCACAACTACAGCAACACCAAAACTACAGTAACACCACAACTACAGTAACACCACAACAACAGTAACACAACTACAGCAACACCACAACAACAACTACAGCGACAACAAAACTACAGTAACACCACAACTACAGCAACACCATAACAACAACTACAGTACCACCACAACAGCGAGAACAAAACTACAGTAACACCACAACAACAGTAACACAACTACAGTAACACCACAACTACAGCAACACCAAAACTACAGTAACACCACAACTACAGTAACACCACAACAACAGTAACACAACTACAGTAACACCACAACAACAGTAACACAACTACAGTAACACCACAACTACAGTAACACCACAGCGACAACACAAGTACAGTAACACCACAGCGACAACACAAGTACAGTAACACCACAACAACTACAGTAACACCACAACTACAGCGACAACAAAACTACAGCGACACCACAACTACAGCGTCAATACAACAACTACACCACAACTACAGCAACACCACAACCACAGCAACAATACCACAACAACAGCGACACCACAACTACAGCAACAATACAACAACTACAGCAACATCCACAACTACAGCAACATCCACAACTACAGCAACATCCACAACTACAGCGACACCACAACTACAGCAACAATACAACAACAACTACAGTAACACCACAACTACAGCAACAATACATCAACAACTACAGTAACACCACAACTACAGCAACATCCACAACTACAACAACATCCACAACTACAGCGACACCACAACTACATTAACACCACAACCACAGCGACAATACAACAACTACAGTAACACCACAACTACAGTAACACCACAACCACAGCGACAATACAACAACAACAACTACAGTAAGACCACAACTACAGCGACAACAAAACTACAGCAACACCACAACTACAGCAACACCACAACAACAACTACAGCGACAACAAAACTACAGTAACACCACAACTACAGCAACACCATAACAACAACTACAGTACCACCACAACAGCGACAACAAAACTACAGTAACACCACAACAACAGTAACACAACTACAGTAACACCACAACTACAGCAACAACAAAACTACAGTAACACCACAACAACAGTAACACAACAACAGTAACACCACAACAACAGTAACACAACTACAGTAACACCACAAACAGTAACACAACTACAGTAACACCACAACTACAGTAACACCACAGCGACAACACAAGTACAGTAACACCACAGCGACAAAAAAACTGCAGTAACACAACAGCCGCAACACAACAACACATTAACAGTTCCAGCAGCAACATCAACACAAAAAACAACAGCAACAGCGAAGACGACAACAGCAGCAACACATTAACAGTTGCAGCAACAACAACAACAGCAACACATTAACAGTTGCAGCAACAACAACAGCAGCAACAACTTTTATTGTTGAGGAGCTGGCTGGGCTTTTATTGTGAAGGTGTGTGGGGGCTTTTATTGTGGTGCAGTTCGAAGGTGGAGGGCTTTTATTGTGAAGGAGTAGCTTTCTTAATGTACTGTAAGGTTTGTTTGTTTTTTTTTGTAGTTTTGGGGTTGATTATTTTAATCAGGGGTGCGTTTCCCGAACAACCACGGAAGGTATCATTGAACTATGTTGGTACGATGCTTCATTTCCCAAAACGGTGTACCTCATGGGTGCCACCGTGGCTTGAACTAACTTAGTTTGAATCAACGTATGTTTCCAGGTGTGTTCGTCTGACTTTCACAGCAGGAAACTCACAAAACGTCATCATATTCTGCCTAAATATGTCAGCCGATATTAAGTGACATTATTATGCTCACTTATTATTTAGGCTTTTCATATTATAGACGTACCGGCAATAACAAGAAAATCAACAATTATACATAACCTAAAATGGGTTTAATCTGCAAGTATCTTTGTTTCAACACTTCAACACTGCAAATGAAATCAAGATCTTGACGATAGCTCAGTGCAATATGGCTGAGCTTGTGCTTGTTGTCTATTGAGACAGACGCGTGAGTTCTCTATTTATCTTAAAGCTCAGGGATTTATTCATTACTCTGCTGTCATGGATTTTACGCCGTCCCTTTTTATATTTATGTTTGTAATGAAGACTAGAGAGAAGCCATCTTCCTCAGAGGCTTAGAGATGTACACATGAAGGTGATATTAAAAGTCTTTACATTCTCTGTTCTGTCCTGTAACCTTTGTACTGGGTGACTAATATTAAATGAAGTTATTGTGAACAGATCTGTGAGAAAACGCCTGCTGTTTGTAGCTGGTCTACACCAAGTTACTTTTACATACATTTAAAAGTATGTTTGCAAATACATTTAAAAAACTTCAGCTGAAATATGTTTGTACAGCAGGATTATTAACGTTCCCTGCTGACTCGCATCACACTGCATCTTCTGCTCTCTGTGACCTCCTCTAACCACAGGTCAGGAGCTGTCGTTCCAAACGTGCAGCTTAACAGTGGTCACAAACGTTCGTCGGAACGATGGTTTCAGGGAACACCTGCGTCGCTTAACGATGGTTCGCACCAACTTAGTTTCCTCCGTATTTGAGCGAGGGTTTTGGGAAACGGTTGCGTCGCAGCTGCATAGTTCCACCCAAGGAAGTTGCTACCGTAGTTAGCTACGATGCTTTTGGGAAACGCAGCCCTGAGAGGTAACTAAGGGCCCAGACCAGTAGGACGAACCAGTACATCCTCGGTACCAGTGTTGACGTGCCTTTGAGCAAGGCAGGCCCAGTCATTTCCAGTAGGTCTAAACCTGGACTGTTTTCTCGTCATTGATGATGTCATGCTGAGGGGGCGGGGCTTACCTTTGTGAGCGAGGCAGCGGATGCTCTGTTTGCTTTGGACGTCCCAGAGTCGAACCGTCTCATCATGCGACCCAGAGAGAAGGAGAGTCCCGTCCATCGACACCGAGAGACACGTCACCAGGTTCCTGAGAGAGACATTCAAACTGACTTCAGATCCTTAATCTACTGACAGATAAATCTATTCCTCCTCTGAAGGCAGCAAACATGTCTGAAAAGTCTGAATAAAAATCAGGAGTTCAGAACTTTTCTGTCCTCGTGACCTTCGGATCATGTAAACGTGATTCCCTTTGCAGCAAGCTGTTAATCTATAAACTGCTCAGAAGTTTGAAGTAAAACTTTATTAATAGCATAATCACAGCGACGCAGACGCTGTGGTCTCACCTGTGTCCTTTGAAGACCTGGTTCCCATCGTTGTCGGACTGGAAGGATTTGTCCCGACTGAGACTCTGCAGATTAAACACAACCGGTTCAAACAGTTTAATCTTTATCGACACAGAGCAGAGCGGCCTCGTTAGTTTCCAGCTCACGTTCGCCGTCTTCTTTAACCTGAAGCCCTGTTTCTTTTTACTGACGCGCTGACACGGTTTGATGGGTTCACTTAGTTATGGTCCGAAGACGACCAATCAGACCACCACCCAGGACCTGTACGCCTCACGCCTTAAGAACATGGACACTGACTCCTATCCCGCCGCACAGACACACGTTACGTTTTGCACATATTGTACATTCAGGGCTCGACAATAACGGGGGCCTGATGACCCGGGGCCAGTAAGAAGTAACGTTGGGACAGCTGAACTAAATTTAAAATAAATTTAATTAATTAGAAACATCCTGCAGTTGTTTTCACGGTTGTCCAATCCAGAGCTGTTCTCTCCAGCAGCCAGCAGGGGGCGCCTTAAACCTGCGTCCTCTCCAGCAGCCAGCAGGGGGCGACTTAAACCTGCGTCCTCTCCAGCAGCCAGCAGGGGGCGACTTAAACCTGCGTCCTCTCTAGCAGCCAGCAGGGGGCGACTTAAACCTGCGTCCTCTCTAGCAGCCAGCAGGGGGCGACTTAAACCTGCGTCCTCTCCAGCAGCCAGCAGGGGGCGACTTAAACCTGCGTCCTCTCCAGCAGCCAGCAGGGGGCGACTTAAACCTGCGTCCTCTCTAGCAGCCAGCAGGGGGCGACTTAAACCTGCGTCCTCTCTAGCAGCCAGCAGGGGCGACTTAAACCTGCGTCCTCTCTAGCAGCCAGCAGGGGGCGACTTAAACCTGCGTCCTCTCTAGCAGCCAGCAGGGGGCGCCTTAAACCTGCGTCCTCTCTAGCAGCCAGCAGGGGGCGCCTTAAACCTGCGTCCTCTCTAGCAGCCAGCAGGGGGCGACTTAAACCTGCGTCCTCTCTAGCAGCCAGCAGGGGGCGACTTAAACCTGCGTCCTCTCCTGCAGCCAGCAGGGGGCGACTTAAACCTGCGTCCTCTCCTGCAGCCAGCAGGGGGCGACTTAACCTGCGTCCTCTCCTGCAGCCAGCAGGGAGCGACTTAAACCTGCGTCCTCTCCTGCAGCCAGCAGGGGCGACTTAAACCTGCGTCCTCTCCTGCAGCCAGCAGGGAGCGACTTAAACCTGCGTCCTCTCCAGCAGCCAGCAGGGGGCGACTTAAACCTGCGTCCTCTCCTGCAGCCAGCAGGGGGCGACTTAAACCTGCGTCCTCTCCAGCAGCCAGCAGGGGCGACTCCAGCGGCTGCAGAGAAACTGTTTCTACTTGTCAGCTGATTTATTCCCTCAGTAAACACTTTCCTGATGAGTTTCTGGTCTCAGTCGCTAGTTTCAAGTCTTCTTCAACACAGCATGATGTTCATTTAGTAATTATGGTCCCATTTAGAGGAACAGAGACCAGGAAGCAGGGGAGGCTTTAGGGCGGGGCTACAAGCTGACTGACGTGTTGCTACCATGGCGACTCGTATCCGCTGCTCTGTGCAGAGAGAGCACGTCATGTTTGACTCGGTTAGTGTGTTTTGTTTTAAAAGTAAATTGTTTTGTTAACCTTTTTATTTTTTATCATTTTAACTGTGATCACATTTTAGTTTCTTTATATCCAGGATGTATTTAATAACCGATTAAAACTGTTAACAGAGTAACTTATAAGTCTTTGGTTTTGTTGTAACACTGATAAATAACTTTTGGAGGGAGGGCCAGTGAGTTTCAAAAAATGTTATCCAAACCCACTGGCCCCCACGTGGATAACATTTTTTGGATAACATTTTCATATTTTATTGTCATGTTTTCCATTTCTTGCCTTTTGCAGTGCTCTTTTTATTTTCTCATACGTGCCTTCTCTTGTGTTTCCCGGCAGGCAACAAAATACCAAAGCAAGTTTGTATGTGTAAACATGTTGGCAAAAATGTCCTCAGAGACTGAATCACCAGTTCAGGGGGAGGAGGGTTTGGACGGGGTGTTTAGGAGGACGGATCTCTGGTTTTTTAGAGGATTAACTCGGCGAAGCTTAAAATGTAAATCTGCTGTGAAAAAACAACAGCATGAGTCAGAGGAACGATGGAGACGAATGAATACAGAGACGCATCCTCAAACACGCCGACCTCTCCAGGATTTAGCCTCATCTACATAATTAACACGTCTCCTCTTTACGTTCAACATATCATGTGCTGTAGTTTTTAGTAGGAGCAGAGTGAGCAGACGGATGGACACCTTCTTTGTTTTAGATGAACTGTGGAGAGCAGCACTGACACTGAGGCCACCATTCGGATCTGGAGATAAACCGATTTAAGACGTCAACGTCAGCCTGCTGAACTATCTGAATAACAACGTTTATTTATTCAAGACACGAGAGGACGTGCAATTTCTTTGGTAGGATGTAGTAAAGGTGGTAGGATGTTTAGACGGGACCATCTGGAGCACCGGGTCCCTGGGCCAACGAGCTGCTCATTATACAAAAACAAGAGAGAAGCGTTTGTGATTGTCTGCGTCCTCGCGGCGCTGCGTTATTAGATTTACATTATTATTAAAAAATATAAAGACCAAAACTCAGGCAGCAGGCGAGGAGGGCTTTAATCAGAGGGACTGAAGGTAACGTGGAGGAGCTGCAGAGTCTCTGTCCACAGGAGCACTGTGAGCTGGACGCCACGAGGCCTGAGGGAGACTCCCCACACACATGGAGGAAGGTACTGTGGTCAGAGCTCATCGAGGAAACCGCAGTCTGGTGCCAACACCTCAGGGACCGGGACGCTGGTCAGAACTGAAGGACGGCACTAAATGCAGGGAATCTTGAGACAACCTGTTTCAGTCTGCCAGAGTTCTGAGACTGGGATCCAGCAGGACCTGGGCATCGGTCCAAGCCCAGACCTCAAGACCTCAGCCAGCTGAGAATCTGAGGTACGACTCAACGAACGCCGGCAGCAGCAGAACCGTCCAGACGGAAGGAGCTGCGGCAGTTTGGCTCGAAGAGAAAACGGCACCGATCCGAGAGGCTCGATGTGCCAAGTGTACAGATTGAACCCCGAGAGACGGCAGGGGAGTCTTTCTTCTCACGCAAGTCTTCAGTTTTTGGGATTATTCTTGTTTGTTTTACAATGAAACCTATTTTGCATTTGTGGTTGGCATGTTGCAGAAAACAGGAAGTGCTTCATCAACAGAACTCTGAACTCTGGGGCGCACAGGAAGCCGTGATTCCTTCCCTGAGTGCAGCTGCGACGCCGCGGCCGTCTTCGTGAAGTCTCAATCAGCTGATGAGGCTGGACAGATCTGTGTGCGTTCTGAAAACTTTGACAGGAAGTGGAGCGTGATGTGAGGCGGCGTGGACAGTCTCACCTGGCTGCACAGAGACACCTGGAAAATGTTTTCCGTCGCTGCCCTCCACAGAACAGGAAGTACTCGCTGGGGTCAAAGGTCACCGACATGATCTCCACGTCAACAGGACGGACAGCAGCAGCTCGCCAGAGGACAACTCCCACACCTGGACACAAGGAGACAAACACCTCAGAGAACCGGCAGCAGGATCAGAGGACACGAAGCCCAACGGCCGATGT